AACTGAAGTTTTGCACAATATTAGAAAAAATTTAATCAATTTTTTTATAAAATCTCAAAATGTTTTAAAATAAAAAATATTTATTTATTTTTAAATATTAAAAATATAGAAAATCGAGAAAAACAAAAAATAATCTGGAGTTATTCCAATTTTTTTAAAAATCTCTATATAAATTTCGTTAAATAATTTTTATTATGAAACTATTTATGTAATTGTTATTTTTATAATAAATGATAGAAAATTAAAGATGAATTAAATTGAAGAAAAAAATTTAATGATTTTAAAAGCTAAATTTGAAGTACATAAAACTCAATTTCAAATGAGATAAAATTCTAAGAAATTTTACTTATGTAGCTAAAGAAGTATACATGGTTATCATGATATGAACTGAGGATCGATGAACGAGGTCAACTAAATGGTTCCAAATCTGAATCCGAGTTAAAGAGCAACTACGAGTTTCAAGTTCCAAGACTGTAGGAATTGCATAAAATAGGACATGTCGGTGAGAAAATTAGAAGCAATTAACTGGAGCCAGAAACACGGTTTACAAAAAACATCCTTTTGTTGAAAGCAGCAAAGGCAAAAACAAAAACAAGAACACGGTTCTGTTTGTGCTTAGCTGGTCTCAGTCTCAAGTTTGAAAGCATCTACTAGCTGATCTGCCTTCAAACGTTCAAAAAAAGATGGGGGCTACGCGCAAATGAGCTGGTTCAACCATCTAAAAATACGACACTTGTAATGATGTTCAAAACTAGTCAAAAATACTAGTACTCCTTGATGCAACACCCAAATGATGAGGAGGGTGAGACAAATGCTCAAAATTATGAGAGTGATGAATGCTATGAGTTTCCATATTGAGAAACTAGAAAGAAAATTAACCTTTTTCAGCTATTTAAATTCCTCTCAGTTAGTTATACCAATAAATAAATAAACGAAAATGATTTAGAAACAAAATTTTTTTATATGTGGATGTGTTTTTAAATCACAAATTAATTAATTACCGATCAAGATTAATATCTGTCAAATAATTAGCCCACTATACATAGAGTTTCAATTGTAAATTAATTAACATATGGCTAATTAGTTAAAGTATCTGAACTATAATTTTTTTTATTGTAATTAAGTCTTTTCGTCAAGTTAATTAATTTGAAGTTACATTGGACACGTCCGAGAGATTTAGAGTCATAAAATAATAATACGTATCATGTGTTCGAAGCTCTTAGATCATATGTTGTTATTTTAATAATTCTATATGTTGTTTGTATTGTCCGAGATTAATCTATTATAGGATGAAATAATTTAATTACGAACTAAAAAATATCAAAAACCTAAATCAAAATAAAAAAAGGTCATGAATTATTTTTTTTACCAATAGTTCAACGTTTTTTTATAACTAATTAACCTTAAAATACATACATACATAAACACACAGATATGTATATATATACATATGAGTACAAAAAAACGAACTGATTGATGAACTCATTTAGCAGCATTCTATAAATGGAAATGATTGGATTTTGAAACAAAATAAAATCCACTACGTACACGTGCCATGCATTTACAAGAATCATCTGCGTACACCTAAAATATAGTATAAAAGATCTTTTGATTATTCATGGGAATTCAATAGGATAGGTAATTGGACAAATCGTAGTTCAATATATCATAAAATTAATAACATGTGAATCATAATTTTAAGTTTTGACAACTCATGACTAGCTAAATCTAAACTGATCGAATGCAAATTCTGCACGAAAAAATAATTAAATTACTAACAAAAGTCCAATAACCCCATCTATGGGTTTTTGTTTTTAATGACAAAAATATAATGCAAAAAAATGTAAAAGGTGCAAAAGGCATCATTTGGTTCCTTGATCAACATGTAATACACTGGCATTTATAGTTTCAGTGTCTGTGGGTTTTCACATTGTGAAACCAGTAAATACTTAAATCGTTATGGAAGGAATGGAAAGATAGAACAAATATGTCATTCATTGAAAAAAAAATTCTATTTGTCCGAACGGGGTTCCTATGGGAACTTATGATAAATTTTATGATGCAACAGAAAAGCATGAGAGAAATTGATATTTAGATTCATCGTTATCCAGATTTAACTTTAACTGTTAATATTATTTTATTTTTTGATGAGTTTAGATATCAATATAACGGTCGAATTATAAAAAAAAAAAAAAAATTAAAACTAATTACTTTTCCATCAATACTCAACCTTTTTATACTAGCAAGCTATTCGATCCATTTTTAAAGAGAATATAGAAAAATATGGAGATAAAAAAGGGATGTACTAGCAATGTTTTGGAATATATACGTGGTAAAACAAAACTATTGATGATTTAGCTTAAGACCTATAAAGAGTATATATGTCGAGTTCTATTCTAGTTATTGAACTGCGTATACAGGCATATGTACATTATGATTAATTTCCTAGACAATTCAAAAAATGCTACTGTTCATGATCTTTAATCCAAGAAATTTCATGTCAAAGTCACTCTTGTTTTTTTTCTTTTTTAGTTTTCTATTGACGTTTTGGATTTTATAACTTTTGCTACGCTAGTAATTATATCATGTCCATTTGCCTAAAATTAAAGTCTAAATACGTTTATAATAATAAGAAATATTTCTTGAACTATCAAATAGTATTCTACTAAACCAAATGGTTTAATTACTGGTGACAACATTATGTGTTAAAGAATCATCCAAAAAACTAATTAAATCAATACCAACAAGTTGTTGGCCTAATGGTAAATAAATTAGTTCCAAGATAGAATTTTTTTATCTATATGTAAGGTTTGAATTCTAGAGTCATGTTTATTGAAAATGATTAAATTTTTTTGGCTTTTGATCTGAAAAAGATTAATCATATCTTCCATATATGATGAAACACCTATCAAAAAAAGAATTATCTCAATTTATAAAACAAATATAGATCCATCTTATCTCGTGATAAAATTTATTGATTTAATTAGACTACTTGATCAAAAAAACTTTTAGATCATCAACCTAAAAACAATTCAAGTTTTAAATGACACCTCAAAATTAATTTTATATTAACTTTTAATTAATTAACACCGTATAATATTCATAATCAACTATAAATATAATCCTTAAACTAATGATAAGTTGTCTCGACTTCAAGCAACAAAACCAATGATCTTGGCACCAAAATGTTCCCTCCCTTGAGAGGTCTCATTAAATGGTTTAATTACTAAAACCAAATGGTTTAATCACTGGTGATAATATTATGTATTAAAAAATCATAAAAAAACTAATTAAATCGGTATTAACAAGTTGTTAGCTTAATGGTAAATAAATTAGTCCCAAGACGAATTTTTTATCGGTATGTAGAGTTTGAATTCTGAAACCATATTTATTAAAAATGATTAAATTTTGTCACTCTTGATATGAAAAAATTACTTCTATCAAAAAAGAATTATCTGAATTTATAAAACAAATACAGATCCATCTTATCTCGATCTAAAATTTATTGATTTAATTAGACTACTTGATAAAAAAAAAAAAACTTTTATCTCATCAACCTAAAAACAATTCAAATTTTAAATGACATCTCAAATATAATTTTGTATTAACTTTTAATTAATTAACACCATATAATATTCATAATTAACTACAGATATAATCCTTAAACTAATGATAAGTTGTCTCAACTTCAAGCAACAAAACCAATGATCTTGTTTCTCTGTTGGCACCAAAACGTTCCCTCCCTTGAGAGGTCTCTAATAATTAACTTAATTTTGAGAGATACAAAAAGAGTTAAGAATACATGTAAGGGCATCCATATTGTGAGCTTATCACATCAACGTTAAGGAATCAAGGAAGGTAAACAAATATATATTAATTTGTCAAGGAAAACTATAATAAACTCTGAGGCTAAGTCGCAAACTTACAATTTCTCATGCCCCCGATTGAACGTTGATGGAGAAATAAAATGAAGCTTAACCTGTCCGTTCCCCTGCCAACAATCTTCTCTACAAGCCTTGAACATATCTTGTTGGTTTACCAATCCTACCAGCTTGTCCACGTGACCAAACATGATGGGGTGATGAACGAATGTTACAAATGAATAGTCAACATTTTCCTTTTTGTTCATAGAGAATACTAAAATTAAACCCGGCAGCGGCACAGTTCTACCAGTGAAAATAAGCCTTGCACATTTTTTGACTTTCAGAAAGAAAGTCCTTGTTCAATCTTTGGAACAAGAAATATAATACATCGATCAGCGTGCCTTTGCAACATATAATTTTGGACCCTTCTTGGAAGCCAATAATTAGAAATAAAGGTACAAATGAAATGGACAAAAGGCCAATTTCCTGCTTCATCTAAACACTGTTGAAAACTTTTTCAAGTGTTTCACTTGTAGGAAAGTTGCATACAGTTAATAATGGCTTGTATTGATGAGCTGCACCACTCAGCATGAAAAATCAGAGATGTTCTGTGCATAAATGATCAATATTGCATGTAAGTGATGAAAGTTGCAACACCTTGTTGAAGTTGAGAGCCATTAGCAAGAATATTGGACCATTAAGAACAAACTGCACAACATGCACGATGAGCTTATTGCGTTACATAGGATATATATTACCTACTTTCACAAGCATTATCTCTATAACTTTTAGAGTTCGTGGGATGGTTCAATGTAGATTTTGCTCTTTATCCCCACCATCATAAAGCTTGAACCTTTGTTCATGATGTTTTTGAGATTATGTGCTTAAACTTAGTCACTGATCAATGATAACACAAGATCACCATTAAGATCACAAGAGCAAAATAATTAGACTATATATGGAAAAAAGAACCAGCTTGAAACTTTTCTAGCCACAGTTGGCAAAAAGAAGGTGATCAAAACATAAAGCTTAATCAAAGAAAATGATTTAACATCTGAAAATGAGAGTTTCAGGACAAACCTCTCTTTAAGCATCTTCTTCTCTAAAACAGCAAAAACATTAAAAGAAAGCTGATCACTACATGTCTTCTCTTCTAAGCTTGTTTAAAAGTGCTGTGATAAGTACATCCCTCTTCTCAGCCCTAACTTCTTCTCTCATCCTTCTTTGTTCTTCTCTTTCTCTCCACCTCCTATCCATCATTATCCTCTCATTCTCTAATGCTTCCATGGTTTGTCTCCACTCCATCTCCTTCATCCTCCTCTCATTTTCCCTTGCTTCAAATGTTTCTCTCCATTGCATTTCCATTTGCATCTGTTGCTTCATGAAATCTTCCAAAATCTCTCTCAAACTATTACTATTTCCACTACTACTACTAGCTCCACCGACTGTCTTGCCCTTTTTGATCTTCTTTCTACTGCTGCCCTTCTCTCCCTCGCTAATTTCTTCATTTTCATCCTCCTCCTCAGATGATAGCTGCACTGCTTTCTTTTTCAACCCAGCTGCGGCTCCTTCAGCTTCAGCCCATAAAATTCTTTGCATCCTTGATGTGAAAATGGCTTGCAACTCATTGTAGAAAGGAAACTGTTGCCTCGTAGACTCAGGTTCTATCGTCTCACAACCCTACACAACAAGGTGAGAAACATCTATATATCAAATACCATATGGATATATGGTACTAACTAGCTAGCTAATAGGGTTTTTAGTTTCTGTCATGCACTATTCATCACTCAATAAAACCGATCAAGAAACAGATATTTCCAATCCAATACTAGATTTTTCCATTTCTTTAACTTCTTTAGCAAAAAAAAAGACTTACTTACCTTGTATCGTGTAACAAGATTCTTCCACTTGCACTTGCACTGGTCTGCGCTACGATTATAACCCTTTTCTTTCATTTTATTAGATATAACTTCCCACAAAACTTTGTTTCTCTTTTTCTCCATGAAAGTTGGATCCAGCTCTCCACGGATCATCAAAAACTCTTTCGTTTCTTGAATACTCCATTGAGGAAACCTGTCGCTGGTGTCAACGTTTACACTGATGTGATGTTGCTGCTGCTGATGTTGCTGATGGTGGTGATGCTGGTGAAGATGACCTTCCATAACAACCACACACAGAATAATCTGAATCAGTTTACACCCACAAGAAAAGATTAGTTGCTTGATTTGATGAAAGAAGAAAAAGAAAGAAAAAAAATAGAGAGAGAAGGAGAAGAAGAGATATATATGAGGGCTGGTAGTGTGAATGGTGAAGGAAAGTGTGAAAATCGTCAAGGAAAAGAAAAGATTTTTCTTTTCTTTATGCTTAGGTGTCAAAGAGCGTTTTTTATTGTTCGTTCATATTAAGAAAACGAAACACAAAACAACTTATCTCTCTCTCTCTCTTCTTTTTATTTTTCCTTTCTTGTTCAGTACAGTTTCTTCTATTTCCAGTCATTATCTCTCTACGCGGAAACAGATTTGTCAAAAATAGCTTTTTTTTTTAAATTAAAAACAAAAAGAAAAAAATGAGTTTGTGGGCTGGGCTGCTTTCATAAATATTTGCTGTTCCCATTGCGTTTGCGTGTCGTCAGGCTTACGAGAAGAGAAGTCTCGGTGATGGTGGGGCCATTATTCTCCCTTGCTATTTATATGAAACTTGCACTACAAGCTATGTTTTTTTTTTTTTTTCCACTTTTGAGTTTTTTTTTTTTTGAGAATTAAAAAGACTACATACAAAATTTATACTTTCTCAGCAGATTGTGTCTTTTTATTTACGTGTATTCTAAATTACTTGTCAAATTCAAAATTTAAGTGGTATATTTTTTAAAAAAATATATCTAATTAAAATTTATTTTGATGACTAATAATTAAAAAAAGAATATTTTAGAAATATATGAATAAAAATATATATTTATAATAATTAATAATCCTTTCAATAGGTATGACAAATTTTTTAAAAATGCAATTTGTTTGGGATAAAGAGAATAGTTTTGAAATATACATATATATATATATATATAACTTAAACTTCGAAGCAACAACTTCATTGTTCCATGGATATGACAAAGAAAATATTTTTGAACTTACTACGAAATTCTATTGAAAGTTAGGAGGCTATTAATTTACATAAATGCATATTAAATAGAATATTATTAAATCCATCATCAAATTTGTTTTTTGCACTACTTATATTTTTTTATAAAAAATTATTAATATATCATTCCATCAACATCTCTTACTATATCATCGTTAAATATTTTTTATATCAAATATTTAAAATATTCATCGATATTTTTGCTTTTTAAGTTTTTAATTTTAATTTTTACTTTCATACATATTTATGTTTTGAAACTTTTAAGTGTTTGATATAAAATATATTTAGCTATGAAATAGTAGCAAAAATTAATAAAAATAGTTATTAATAATTTTCAAAAAACAAGCTGTAGGAATAACAAATTTGATAAATTTAGCAACACTCTACTACATATAATAAGCATATTAAAGAAATTGTTTTATGCAAATTGCAATGGCCTTCTTCTTTCCTTTATTTATTTATTTTTTATTGACTTCCCTTCCATTAATTAAATATGGTAAACAAGCGGTAAGATTTTATTTATTTATTTATTTATTTATTTTTTTATTTTTTTTTGGGGAAAGTGAGCATAAGAATTGCGTTGGGGGGGGGGGGGGGGGTGGGGGGGGGGCGCGCCGCCAATACATATAAATGTATAGATGGAAATTATATTAAATATGTTAATGAAATTATTCTGAGCAATGGCTTCTTCGATTCCACTTTCAACCTCCAGATTCTTCGAGCCTTTGAAGAATTGGGTCATTCAACATTGTTAAATTTCTTTTGGCTTTATAATCAATTTTTTTCTGACACTACAAGAACATGATTGTTGAATTCCAATTGCTCGAGTAGCCCATGTTTCTATGCAGACTTATATATTTATATGCATGTTACACACTTTTGTATATATTGCTAAAATTAGATAATGCATTGATATATAGTATTTTGAAAACGTTTCTCCCTTTTTCGTGAACATGCTTTATAAAGCAAAGGATATTCATGCTTGGTCATTTCTTGATAAAGAGAATTTGCTTATCATATGTTTATATAAAGAAAATTATTTACTAATTTAGGAGTACTAGCTAGTAATGAGATATTTATGAATTAATTTTTGCATCAATCAATATTATTTTCATTATTTTCAGAATTAAGTCAATATTAGATTACACTTAATTGCTTATAGGTTTTAAAAATTCAACTTTTTGAGCTATCAGCAACTTATGACTAGCTTATGACTAGTGTCATATAAAAGATTTTTTTTTCCAAGAATGAGAATCGCACTGCTGGTCTGTTTTCTTTACCTTAATTTTATTATAATTCTTTTTGGCTTTGTCTTTTAAAATTTTGAAATTAGGATATTTTCAACATTCTGGTCCTTTCTTGTTGAATCGTGTGGAGGAGGCAGAGAGAGAGAGAGAGCTTTCGAGAGGTTGTATCTGTACTGTACGTGGCGGCCGCTTTCCTTAAACAAAGCAGCTAAAACCTTTTGCTGCTTTCATTTCCCTTGCATGGGTTTGAAATCTAAAGTTGTTGTAGTAAAAAAGATGAGTAAATTGTTCTTTAGTCCTTTAGTTATGAATTTACAATAACTTAATCCTTTATCTTTGAAAAGTTATAGTTTAATTATCTGATTTTTGTAGACCATTGCATATACTTGGTCTTTTCTCAATTAGCATAGGTTCGGTAATGCAGTCGAAAGCACGTTTTATTTTAAAATTTTTTAAAGTATTTTATGTATTTATTGATGATTTTGACCTTTTCATATCAAAATCATTAAAATATTATAATGATACATTTTTAACTCAAGCATATTTTAAAAAATATTTAAAAAAGTTTGAAAAAAAACTCAAACTATAATACCAAACAATTAATCCTGAATCTATTATTTGATGGATTGAATCTTTAGGGTAAAACCTTCATGGTGAGTGACTTTTTAGAAGCAAACGATTGATTTTTTAATGGATAATGCTCAACTATATTTAAGGGACTATTTTATAGCTTTTATAGATATAAGGACTGGGTCATAAATTCATTAAACATATAGAGACTAAAGCTTAATTTACTCTAAGAAGATCAGATAGAATTGAATCATCTTACTTGCTTGGGTTACCCGGCACCTGTGGACCGTTGTTTTTTTAATTATGTACGCGTCTTCTGTCATGTCCCACGTGTGGACGCCAACAATCTTTATCCACGTGGCATACATGCAAAGATCATCAGGAAAGGTTACTAGAAAAACTTGGTGGACCCACTTTTCTCTGTTCACACGTATGCGACCTGATGTGGTCCTGGCCCGAATATTTGACCCGGCAATTTGGCAAGTCGTAAGGAGATAAGTAATAACCAAGGGATCCAACGTCATGAATTTAATTTAACTTGCTATATGATTCCGACTTGCTGATTTTCCATAAACGATTTTGTTTTGTTACCTTCATTATTAACAATTGAATAAAAAGATCATGGTTAAAAAAAAAAAAAAAAAAAACAACAACAATTGAACAGCGAGGTGAAGTGCAAGCATTTTTTTTTTTTTTATAAAGCTTTCGTTTATTGAGAGATTAAAATGTTGAATCCTTCACATATTAGTTTAGATACAATAAATAAATTTTCTTTTCTTGTTACGGTTATAGTTCAAGAATAATGAAAGATTTTTCAAAAAATTCCTCAATTTAACTTTGATATATGGATATATATGTTGTTGAAAGTGTGTGTATATATATTTCCGTTTTTTTTCCCTTATATTTATAAATAATTAATAGAATATTTTTTAATCAATTTTTGTATTGATCAAAATTAAATTCATCATTTTCTGAATTAAATTAGTTGAGGAACACGCCTATGATTTGTTGACTACCGAAATTTTTCTTAAGCCAAATCAACCTACATTTCGTTTATCAAGAGCTAAAAAATTGATCCTTCTTTATCCAAAAAAAGAAAAAGGATGATTATCAAAAAAATCCTCTAAAAAAATCTTATATCCAAGTAACCAATCAATTTATTTTTAAATCCGTCAAACCTAAAATAATATTTTTCTTACCAAAACACGCTATAGTTAACCTCAACTTAACACTAGTTAACTATTGGGTCTTTTGGTAAGATAATTTTTTAATTTTAGGTTTGAGAGGATTAAAAAATAAATTGATGAATTTTTTAGATAGAACATTTTTAAACACTAACATTCGACCGTTTTTTTTTTAGTATACTAAAAAATTCCTTATATATATTGATTGTTTATTTCATTAATTACGAGATTAATTTTACTATCTAGTAACTATAGCAATCGATGCAATTTAACTAATCAATATTGATGAAATGAGACTCTTGTTATTCTCTTGTAATTTAATCAAAAGGTTATCATACAAATAAGAAAAATAAGAATATGTATAATTATGAAAATTAGTGATTATCCTAATATATTGATAGAAAAAAAATCATCCGTAATACTAGTTTTTAATTAATCAAAACTCAACATTTTTTATCAAACAATTAAATTAAATTACAAGATGAATGTATAACATATTTTGGTGCATTAATTAAATAAAACATGATCATCCATAAAAATGCATATCTTGAAAGATAATGTTTTCATTTAAACTATGGATAATTACCAAAACACCTTCTAAAAAATCTTTTATCTAAAAAATTCATCATTTTATTTTTAAATCTCCCAAACACAAAATAATATTTTTAAATCTTACAAGCCTAAAATAATATTTTTCTTACCAAAACAACCAATAGTTAACACTAGTGTTAATTATTGGGTGTTTTTAGTAAGAAAAATACTATTTTGGGTTTAGGAAATTTAAAAATAAATATGTGGGTTTTTTACATATAAGATTTTTTTATAAAGTTTTTCTAGTAATTATCCCAAAAGAAAATTGATCATTCAAATTAATATTAGTTTAGATTATAAATGAGTTTACTTTTTATACTATTATTTCCGAGTGAATGCAAGAGAGCATCCTAAGAAAAAATAAGATTTTAAAATGAATTAGAGATATAAGGGAGTATTCTTCTAAACTCTAGTAACAAACTAATTATACATAGC